GGATGGGGACACGGAGATGTCCTGGTGGCCATCAGGGATGTGGAGATGGGGACACGGAGGTGGCACCAAGATCGGGGGGACACAGGGATGTCCTGGTGGCCATCAGGGATGTGCAGATGGGGACATGGAGGTGGCCCAGTCCCTCCCAGTCCCTCCCAGTCCCTCCCAGTCCCTCCCAGTCCATCCCAGTCCCTCCCAGTCCCTCCCAGTCCATCCCAGTCCCTCCCAGTCCGTCCCCGTGGGGGAGGGGCGGGTGACCCTTGGCCGGTGGCCGCAGAGGGGGAGGGGCCACAGCTGGGACACACCTGGGGGGACACCTGGGGACACCTGGGGACAGAGATGGGGACACAGATGGGGACAGAGATGGGGACACACCTGGGACACACCTGGGGGGACACCTGGGGACACCTGGGGGGACACCTGGAACACACCTGGACACACCTGGGGACACCTGGGGGGACACCTGGAACACACCTGGACACACCTGGGGGGACACCTGGGGACACCTGGGGACAGAGATGGGGACACCTGGTGGGACAGGAACACACCTGGGGACACCTGGGACACACCTGGGGACACAGATGGGGACACAGATGGGGCCACACCTGGGACACACCTGGGGGGACACCTGGGGACACCTGGGGACACCTGGGGACAGAGATGGGGACACCTGGGGGGACAGGAACACACCAGGGGGGACACCTGGGACACACCTGGACACACCTGGGGGGAAGGGGACACACCTGGGGACACCTGGGGACACCTGGGACACACCTGGACACACCTGGGGGGAAGGGGACACACCTGGGGACACCTGGGGACCTCAGGACAGCGCTGGGGACACACCTGGGACACACCTGGGGGGGGAGGGGACACCTGAGCGCGCCACGCCCATCACGTGACTCACCTGTGCCCCGCCCCTCCCCCATCCCGGTTATTTTTAGCACTGGGAGGAGGGGGAGGGGCAGGACCCCCCAAAAAAAAAAAACCTCCTCAAAAATCCCCCCCAAAAATGACCTAAAATCCCCCAAAACCTGCCCCAAAAATCCCCGGAAATTCTCAAAACTCCTCGAAACGTCTCCAAATCCCCGAATTTCCCCCCGAATTCCTCAAAATTGCCCAGAATTCCCCCCAAAATCATCAAAATGCCCCCGAAATTCCCATGATCCCCCCAAATTCCCCAAACATCCACCAAAAATCCCCC